TTCAGTGCAATGACTTTTATTTCGTTCTACTCAAAACTCTTACTACAATGATAAAAATTGAAAATAATTTTTTAATTTATAAAAATTGGGTAATTTTATTTAACAATTTTTTGAAATGACAATCAGATTTCGTTTTAAGGTGAACACATATGCAATTATATCCTTAAGTTATGCTAAGAATCGAAGATAATGAAACTATGTTTTGCATGACATAAAAATTTTTTGTGTATGTAAAAACTTTTAATAATATAAACAATTATGATGATATTTATTTATTATTTTTTTATTGTTAAACATCCATATCTTTAGCCACATATTCACAAATTTTTCTTCATCATACACCACACACTACGAATTTTCTAGGGTTCAGTCAATGCAACAACAGTTGATTTTTACATTTAGTATTTCTGTAGTGATCAAAATTGGAAAAAACAAATTGTATACTAGTGCCAAGATTGCAGTAATTTTATTGTTTGCTGAGACATTTGCACATCTTTTTCTAATCAATTTAAGATGTCCAACAGATATAATTGATGAAACGAAGAATAAAAAAATCTAATGAAATTGTCTTGAATAATCTTAAATTCCTCGCGCTTAATCATGGGTATCGTAAAAACCTATAGAGATGTACTACCCAAGGTAGCCGAATCAAACTTTCCTAGCGAAACATTTTACGTAAGTCAAAGTGTGCAAATAATCCATTTTAAATTCAAATTGTCTTCGATTAAATTTTCATAATTAATGTACGATTTATTAAGTAAATTGAGAATGAAAAAAGGATGATGGGGGTTACCATAGGCATCGTTGATTGTAAATACCAAACGATACGTGTACAAGTAGGCTCACTGATATACTTTTTCATAAACCCTCCAAGGGGGATACCAATCATCTCTTTTTTCACCGACGCCCTGGTTATCATATTTTATTTAACCAATCGAATATTTGTATCGTAGCGGTGCGAGTTTTTGCGTCGCCGCTGCTACAGCTGACGTGTTTTGTAAATACATATAACAATGATAATAATGTCGAAGATTCGGGAAAAAATATTACTGCCCGAAGAAAAAAAAAAAAAAAAAAAAAAAAAAAAAAAAATGAAACAATGGTCGATAAAATTTATTACCGACTTAACAATACAGTTGTGAAATTTATTAAAGATAAATGAAACCAAACTAAAGTGTAATAATTGCGTTACTTACTATACTTGCGAAGTTTTTTAGTAATATTGATCCTAACGATGTAATATGGATGTTTTGAATGCAAAGATGTTATGAATTATGACTTGAAGAAGGAAAAAAATAAAGAAGACATTACTATTGTTATATAAATAACGTATAAAAATGCATAAAGATTTAGTACACATATAATATACATATATACTATATATTTACGCTTAAGTATAAATAGATCACAAATGTAAAGAGTGCAAATTTTATAAAGCTTCCATGAGAACATTGACATTTATTTTTAATTTTTTTCACAATGATTAATCGTATAACGATGCGTGTACACCTTATTACACACTGACTGGCAAATACGTAAATTTTCACTAAATAATATCGGTTGGCAGATCGTTGACTATTTTCGTTCACGGCGATGCCCATCAGGGGGCAGCTGGCATTTGTAATAATTTAAGCAAAGTTGCCCTGTGACGAGCCGCGCCGTAATCGTAACGTGAATTCATTTCTTGCTCCGGAGAATTTTGCCTCCCTTGGAGTTGATGAATAGACGACCCGTTCCTTTTCTTCGTAAAACATTGAACTCGATGAGAGAAATGTGTCGATGATGCCGATCTTGGGAAATCTTACGTTTACACCTTTCTCGTGACCGATGATGACTGGAATTTTCCATAGCTAAAAGAACATTTTCACATTAAGAGACAACAGCTTACAAGAAATGATATAAATTCAAGTTTAAGCATAAAACAACAAAAAAAGTAAGATCGATTTTCCGCTCCAATCTCTACCCACAAAAATGATCACAGGATGCTGCTGCGACGAATGTGCGTGACGAGTGAGGAAGAATCGGACACGAAGCGCGTTCTTTTTTGGCCTCGCCTCCGTTCTTTTTTTTCTGTCAGCCAGACAGGAAGAGGGCGGTTTTCGATACGAGGAAGCTCTTTTCTTTTTATTTTCAAGATAGACAGTGACGATTATCTTTTCGTCTCTGTGTCCAACGTTGCAACTGTAGGTGATGAAGTAAAAATACTGAAAAAAAAAAATTAAATCTTTGGTTTCAATGATTTTCTCAAATTGTTGAAAAAGTTGCGAAACTTTCAAGAATAACTATTCAGAGTTTCATGAAAATGGGTGAATTTTCCAATATTTTTAACTCCAAATTTATGGACTAATGAAATTTCAACTGTCAATACACGCTCTGAGAGGCAGTAGTAATTTAGGCTCCTTTTTCATTAATAAATTGTGCTTCAAACGATTTTTTCACTCAAATTTTGTGGATCAAAAGATGTTTTTGTGCCAAATTTCAGGTTTCCAGACCACGCCCGGTAAATTTTATCGGTGAAAATGTGTTTTTACATAAATGCACTTTTAAATAAAAAATGTACAAAAATTGTTTGAAATTTTTTTACTACAAATTCAAATTTTCAGAGGTTGAAAATTAAAAAAAAAAAATTTAGAAAAAGTATTTTTTTATAGTGGTAGAATATAAAAATTTTTTAAACAAACCACACATTTTTTCTATTACCGTGAAATTTTTTTGATTTTTAAAAGTGGTGGGACTAAAAAAAATAAATCTGAAATTTTTGGCGTTTTACTGTATTGTGACAACGAAAGATAAATTCAAAAATGGCCCCGTTAACTTTTACTTAAAATAGATTTTCAATATTTACAGAGCCTTTTTTCAATTTGTTGTGATACAAAAAAATGTGTAGTTTGTTAAAAAAAATTTTTCCTCATATCACTCGTAAAAGGGTTTTTTCTAGAATTTTTTTAAAATTCGAACGAGTTATATGGTGCCTTCGCTCTCCCTTTCCTATCACTTCGTCTCTCTATTCCCCTACCTTTCGGGCCCAAGCCAGCGGAGGTGCACGCACGCATAGCTGCCGTACGTAACAAACGTCTCTAAAAATTTGAATTTGGTGACGAAAATTAAACAAAAAAAAAATTTTGTATATTTTTTATTTAAAAGTGTACGTTTACAAACTTTTTCGTTTTTTTTTGGCTAAAAAATTTAAAAAAAACTGAAAAACACGTAATCGATCACACCAAAAATGGTCTAGAGACTTTTGGCACAGTAACTCTTTTTTGTATACTACCTTTCGATCCACAAAGTTTAAGTGGAAAAACCGCTCGGGGCACTTTTACCCCCTTACCCAGACTCTTTGTGGTAAAAATATTGGAAAAATCCTTACAGTCTCCTGACACTTGAAATAGTTGTTGAAACTTTTACTGCATATCCTGCATTTTGAAAAAATCATTGAACCTTCTGAAAAAAAATTTTACACTAAGCGTCTTTCAAAGTACAAGGAAAACTGCACATTTTCAAAAAACAATGATCTTGATTTCTTTGATCGTGCGTGTTTCATTGACACTTTATTAAATAACAAATTATATAAACCTACATATAATATATTTATGTAATGTAATGGTTTGTGTTACTGATCAGTTGTTATTACAAAGTCTTTGATTAATACTTTGGGGTACAATATAATTTTACAATCTCACCAGGACAGCAGATAATTTTGTTTTTCCTATACTTGATTTCAAATTAACGTGTGTACCGTTGATCTCCAAGTGTTGCCTTTGAGCCGCAATTTTAAAAATTAAAAATCCGAGTGCTTTCTTTTCTCGAAAAAAAACTCGGCACTGCACAACGTGACCACCAAAACTCGACTGATCTCGTCTCGCGTACATTATACTACATTATACCACACACATCCTTTCTGCCACCCTGTGGGCTCCCTGTATCTCTCATTATTCTTATCTGCTTCCTTTTGACGTTGCGGCATTTAAGTTTATCTTGTACGAACATACGCACAAATATATTTTAAAAAACATATCGTCGAACAAACCGATGAGGCCCACCACTTTCTATGCCTAATATAAAAATCAAATAAATCGTGTCGCTCTAATTTCTTCGGTATCCATCACCGAAAACGATAACTCACGGTGAATATGAAAATATAGTTATCCGTGAGTTTAACCAATCCAAATCCGTACACGAATTGGGTACTTGCCAAAAATTCACCAGAGTTGTACATACCAAACAATAAATAATTTTCTCGTCATCTTGATTAACCGGTCGTTTCTCGTTTGCTCTTGCAAGCCCCAACCCCGTATCCTTTGCAAGGGAGAGAGATGCGAAAAAAAAAAAAAAACAAAAAAATTGCATGGACTCTGCAAGTGTATAGGTACATCGTGTAATGTATGCTTTTCCCATGCCATAAACGATACACATAAGTAGGTATTACGTGGTGTTACCCAAGTATAATATTTAAGTAGGTACACGCACTGGCAACCGGTTTTTCTTCACGATGCATCCAGTGCATTTTTTTTATCATGACCCGTCGAGGATGACAGTGAAACTCCGTTGAAACGGCTCTTGCAGTCGCCGACCCTTTTGCGTGTACATGCATATACTTACCCGAAAACACGCGCACATCCGAATACATGCTCACGCGAGTACGTTTGAAAATGTTTTTCAAGAAAACCGGATGCACAAAGCGATGAGACATGCAAATATACACAATTTATTATTTTTTCTTTTTTAAGTTAAAAAATTCGTTTTTATGCTTTTTTCTCATTTTTTTTCTTTCTTCGTAGGTGGTATATTAGGTACATTCAGTAGCCGCCTAAATGACCGTGAGCAAAGTTCTTATTTCTTATAGACCGAAGTAAATGAAAGTACCTGGCTTTGGTCCCCCGAAGAACTGGATAATAGTTGCATCGATCTCCCTCCCCTGACTGAGGGTTAGCGATGCACAAAGGACAACGCAACTACATCAGCACGCGCTCGATGTACTTACATTTTCATGTATTTCAAGTTATCTATCGATTAATTTGATTTATGATGATCATTTGTGCAACGTCACAATGATGTATATACCATTTGGGTCATTTTATTGTCCTTTTTTAATACTCAATCGACATCACCTGTACAGTGTAAATAAATAAATAAGAAACTATAGCGGAAATCTAGCGCATCAAAAGTCGGTTCTGTACTTACGGTGTCGTACCTTCAATTTGCACTTGCAATTTCCACGAGGTCCACAAATGACTGCACTAGGAAAAATCATAATTTTAAAAAGCTTTCAACCTCCTCGTCTTTCTGCCATTGAAAATAAATCGTACAATTGTAATTTTTACTAGTCTTTTTATTATTTAAAGTATCGTACTCTGCTTAAACTATACATGAACATATACGTATATAATAAAATTATACAACACGGCTCAAAAAGTTAATTTTCCGACACTCAATGCAGGTGTTTATTGTTATTAATCGTGAAATGCAATGGCAAAAATTATACATCCGTAATATACATATCAGATGTTTTTTAATCCGCGCAACATAACGATGTATGGTGTCGCGTATGTTTGATTAATACATATCAATAGTTGGAGAAGTAGTAGAAAAATATATAAATAAATTCAAATAAATCTCATGAAGTAATCTTCACAAAAATATATAATATCTACATAGAAATGGATAGGACGTAGCATAACTCTTATACGCTTCAGTAAAAATAATAACGTGTTTTTTATATTTATGAAAAAAAAAAAAACAACTTTTATTTCGTATCGATGTATAGGTACTATGGAAAACGCAAATAAACAACTCGATACGAGAAAAGTAAAAAAAAAAAAAAAAAACAAAACAAAACAAAAAAAAGAATCAGTATATGAACAACGAAGCTTTCCCCTCTGCAGTGACAGAGAGAGGCTCTCCCGTCTAGTACTCGATGGTGATGGTCTTGGTCTTGAGGTACTCGTTGAGCGCCTCCTGTCCGAGATCCTTCCCGAAGCCGGACCTCTTGAAGCCGCCAAAGGGAGCGGCGACGTCCGTCTTGTTGTACGTGTTGACAAAAACCGTGCCCGCCTCGATTTTCTCGGCAAACCTGAGGGCCCGGCCAATGTCCTTGGTGAGCACGCCCGAGGCGAGCCCGTACTCGGTGGCGTTGGCCCGGCGCAGCACGTCGTCGAGGTTTTGGGAGCTAAAGCGCGAGACGATCATCACGGGGCCGAAGGACTCCTCGCGCGCCAAGTAACTCCCGTCCTCGACTTCGGTGAATATCGTCGGCTCGAAGTAGTAGCCCGGCCGGTCGAGCCGCTTACCGCCGAGGACGAGCTGGGCGCCCTCTTTTATACCCCGGTCGACGAACTCGAGGAGCTTCTCGAGGTGGGCCTTGTGGTTCTGGGGCCCGTGGGAGGTCGCGCGGTTCAGGGGATCCCCGATCTTTATCTTTCGCGTCTCCGCCACCACGCGCTCGATGAACTCGTCGTGGATGCTGCTCTCCACGAAGATGCGACCTGTTCGGGAGACAACGTTTATATTCATTATTGGTTAAAATACCTATACATCACCTCTCCCGGCCATCCTCAATGCATTTATCGGAACAATTCAACATTGTTTTTCAACCATGCACAGTCTTCTACCCATGCCTATACTCTTGATTGATTCACGTATTTCAAAGAAAATCCGATGTATAAATTAATAATATCGGCATTTTACTCTTGAAGATGTACCTTACCTGNAAAAAAAAAAAAAAAAAAAAAAAAAAAAAAAAAAAAAAAAAAAAAAAAATACCAACCAGCGGCGATGCAGTTCTCGCCCTTGTTGAAGAAGACGCTGCTCATGGCGAGCCTGACCGCCTGCTGCATGTCCGCGTCCTCGAAGATGACGAGGGGACTCTTGCCCCCGAGTTCCAGGGACACCTTCTTCAAGTTGCTCTCGGCGCAAGTTTTCATGATCACCTGGCCTATCTCCGTCGAGCCGGTGAAGCCGAGCTTCCTCACCATCGGGTGCTTCACTATCGCGTTGCCCGCCACCGACCCACTGCCCGGGACTATGTTGATCACACCTGCCAAATAAAAAAGAGAAAACAAAAGTAATCCTCGAAGCAATAAAAGTGCTCGAGCACATATCCCATGTATATATATATACCCGGTGGTATGCCGGCCTTGGCCGATAGCTCGGCGAACTTGAGGGCGGTGAGGGGCGAGGTCTGCGCCGGCTTCATGACGACGGTGTTGCCGGCTGCCAGGCACGCGGCCATCTTCCACGAGAGCATCATCAGGGGGTAGTTCCAGGGGGTGACGAGGCCGCATACGCCGATCGGCTCCTTGCGGGTGATGGTGAGGTTGCGCCTCGGCCGGGCGTGGCTTATGGGCACCGTCGCGCCTTGTATCTTGTCGCACCAGCCGGCAAAGTAACGCCAACTCTCCACCGACATGCCCACGTGGGTCTTCAGGGCCAGGGTGTACACGGCCCCCGAGTCCAGGCTCTCGAGGGTCGCCAACTCCTCCCGGTGCGCCTCCATCAGATCGGCCAGTCTGCAATCCACGGCCACACACACGCAAATTGCTTTTTTATGATCCAAGCCAATTAGGTAACGCGCTCTCTCGCGTGTGTACACAACTCACTTGAAGAGGAGGGACGCGCGCTCGCGGGCGCTGATTTTGCTCCACTCGCCCTCGTCGAAGGCCCGTTTGGCCGCTTGGACGGCCAAATCGACGTCCTCGGTGGAGGCGCTCTCGACCTCGCAAATGAGGCTCTCGTCGTGGGGGTTGAGACTCGGGATGGGCTTGGCCCGCCCGTTGACGAACTTGCCGTCGATGAACAGTTGGCGGGGGAACCTGAGCTCGAGGCCGTTGGCTTGGGCGACTACCGGCTCGTAATGGACGCTCCGGCTAGCCGTGGCCCCGCGTCTCGCCAGAACTGCCACGCTCGCGAACTCGATGAACGTCGGGGCCATGAACACGTCCGTGTTTTGCAGGTGGATGTCCAAGCTGTCCTTGACCTCCTCGACCAGCCGGACCACGTCCATACTGCTGGCACCTTTTTTTTTTTTTTTCAGACATATTAGTGATCATGTACGGCGATAATTCGCGATAATTGGGCTTGCAAATCCGCGATGTGCGTACATATAGAGTAGGTGAAACAAAAAAGAATTTAAATCTGTACTCTTAGAGTTGTCGGTGCGAGAAAAAAAAAAAAAAAAAGATTTGATATCGGAAGTGAGTGGATGTATACATGGAAGAATCGAAAAATATTCAAACACACGAGTCCAACGCGCATCTACAAACGCGGGCATGTGGATGGGTATATATATATATATATATATATCCCCGGGTAAACCCCCTCTCGTTCGAATTGGACCATCCATGCACGTGCTCTTTGGCAAATATTCCATTTAATTTACCACGAAAGAGAGCCCCATCGCTTGGGATTTAAATAATAAATGTAGCACCGAAGCGGTGAAATTCCACCATCAATTTCCATCGACAAGGTTTAGCCTCCCCCCCCCCCAACCTCTCGTAC